TAAATGCCTACTTAACTCTAAACCTCCCAATTCAAAAACAGTAAAGAAGGAAGCATGATTCGATGTATAATCCACAGATTCAAAACTCTGAGTGTTTGCTATTATTTCCCTAATTAGGGATTGCCATTTTTCCTAGAAGTGTTCTCTTGATTCTGTTTTAAAGGCTCTTGCTTTGAATTTTATCTTTTCTATGAGAAAGCGTCTGTCATGGCAGTTAAGTAGCTTTCCTAGTCTGTTTCCAGCCCCTAGTGAATTGAGAGTCCACAGTTCTCTTTAATTTGGACTCTCAAAATAATTTTTGCAAGGCTATAATTCCCTTAAAAACATCATTGCTTTCCTATGTATTAGATTATGAAATACCCTTTTAGATTAAATCCACAACAGATTTTTCGAAGACAGGCATCTCTCTACTTACAGTACTGTCATACTTGTAAATTGAAAAATGTTTTGGATATCAATGACAGTGACTCAAATTTACCAGTTCCTATGACTCAAAATGGTAATAATCACTTATTTGCTCATGATTTTATGATCAGGGGAGTTCTAATACTTGTTCCAAATTATTGATGAGTGAATTTTGAAGAGAATTGATACAGTTTGGCTGTAGTTTAATGTATTCGAAGACCCCATTATGATTACAGGTTTAGTCCTCAAGGTAGTAGTATTGGAAAAGCCATGGGAACATTAAGATGTGGAAATTCATAGAAGGTCCTCAAGTTAATTGAGAGCATTCTTTACACAGGGTTAGTGAAACTCTGTCCTGTCTCTGTTTCCTGGATGGAGATGTGACTACTTGCTCTGACATGCAGTACCACCATTGTTCTCTGTCATTCTCCATCCACCGTAGAATTGAGGTAACACCTAGACCATGCCTTTGCATATTCAAAACTATGAACTAAATATAAATAAACTTCTTTTCTCTGAAAGTAGCTGGTGCCAGGTATTCACTATAGTAAAGAAAAGCTAACTAATACAGTGGTCCACTCAACTCACATGATGAGTTATTTGGCATTTGCTTGTTATTGGGATGATGAGATCTGTTCTTTTCTTCCTCTGTAGTAGTATGAATTTTTCTGAAGATTGACTTCTGAATTCTAAAGAGGATGAGGAAGAAACTACCACTTCACTAAGGTTAGGTATAGATTTAGTGATACATTAGTTTCATTATGTTCCATTTGTCACAGAAGATTCAAAGGCATGGACATATATACACATCTCTTTGCTGGGAAAGATAATTTCTAGAGCTCTTCCACTTACTATAATGTTTAAATTTGTTTTAATTCAGATTTCTCATCTTCCAGGAAGGCTGCAGACATATATACTTAATTTCCAAGCAATTTACTGTATGAACAAGAAAAGAATTAAATTGTAAGTATATCTTAAAGAATTTGACATTTGCTTATGAATTTGGTATAATTTATCAAAATCTGATAATTATCTGAAAGTTTTAAGATATATAATTTTGCATGAAAAGTCTAATAATTTTCTGTTAGTGGTGGAAAATGATCCCAAACTGCTTATCTACATACTTAGCACCAGACAAAGAATGTGTACTTAGGTATGCTTGTCCTTTTGTAGCATGTAAAACTAATTAAAACAGGATTAATTGTGGAAAAAAAAAGCAAATTACTTTTTTAATTTGTAATTTTACTTTTACCATTACTATAGATTTTTTTAAAATTCAGTACAGTATTTTAAAAAACCATGTTGGTAAGTTAAAGCTTAGAATTGTCTGGAGAGAATGTGTTCTGGTTGGCTAGACTACTCCCAACATTAAAGTTAAATTATTATATCATTATAGAAATGTTGTTACACATATGTGCATGTGTTTGCATGTTTTAATTTTGGTACTTTTGGGGACACTGCCTTGATTTCTAAAAGCTGAAAATACATTGCTCAAATGGCTAAAAAAAAAAATCTTCTTCTGGTTAGTTTTGACCAAACTATCACTATTTTATTTCCAAATCTAATTCCCAGTCTATCTTATTCCCTTATATTATGTATTTATTTATATATTATTATAGCAAAAACATTGTACCTCATTTTCAAAAAAGTCATGTCAGTGAAATTTATTGAAACAACTTTTATTTCTTATAATGAATAGCAAAACAATTTTTAAAAAGTTTTTTCTTTACAATCTTATTATAACATTGCAATATTTTTAATGTATGTGGACTAATAAGCATTTGATTGAAGCTGAAAACACAGAAGAGTTTAGAATATTGATTTACCTGAATGCAAAAGAAATGTTCTTATGTTTCAAAAGTCAATTAATTTGTATGCCAAAAATTTTTATTATACAAGTAAAAGCTTCATTAATTCCCTCTAAAATATGTATATTTTTAACAGAGAAGCTACAATACATTACAATAAATCTTTTCTCAGAGACAATACCATTTTACTAGCTCTAAGTGTCAGACACAGTTTAAGAAATTATTCTTAATAAGACTGTAACATTAACAGCATAAAACTTTAACATGAATACAACAATTATGTATTGCAAATATGTACTGAAAAATTTACAAATTATCAAATATGTTTGATTCTAATGTTGTAAATGACAAAAATTCTTGATATTTAAATACATAAAAATCAGTCATAATTTTTCTAGAGGAGAATAAGTTTTAACTATTGTAATTACAGAGTAAAATATTGAACATAAATCCATTTTGTAAGATTGGTATAAAACTGACTTAAAATCTCTCTATATCTAGTTTTGAGGTTTTGATGTTAATGTGCATTGAAATTTGTGTGGCTCCAAATAAAAATATTTTTTTCTCTTAAATTTTTCCCAGAATTAAGGCCAGAAAATATTAAGAATTGCTTTTTAGCCAATGTTGATAGGACTCTGTTAAAAAGTAATATAAATTAGAGAAGAGTGGTGCTTAATCTTTTGAAGTCATGGATAGGGTTAATAATGCATGTTGAACACATGCATTCAGCCCCAGGCCTTCATAGATATGCAACAAAACCAAGAACAGATGATCAGAGGCAGCTATATGTGTATTATTCAGTGATTTGCCATGACTGTCCTAAAATTCTTGATGTTCTTGAACCAGGAGTCCCACATTTTCATGTTGCACTAAATCCAGCAAATTATCTATTTAGTCCTACATGGCTACATATTCTGTGTGAACTGTGACTTCAGAAACTTCCAGTCTCCTTGAAGAGAGACAGTTAGGAGTGAGACAAATAATTCTGTGATTAAATATTGCAATGAGTAACATGAAACGAAAAAAAAAAAAAGGAATTCTATTGTCTTAGTATGTTTGTGCTTCCACAACAAAAAGAGCAGGAGCCTGAGTCATTAAGAAAAGGAACGGAAATTTATTTCTCAGTTCTGGAGGCTGGAAAGCCTTAAATGAAGGCAATGGCAAGTTTCATGACTTGTAAGGACTATGCTTTGCTTCCAAGATGCTGCATCCTCTGGAGGGAAGACTGTGTTCTCACATGGCAAGTAAAAGAGAAGAAGCTCACTTCCTGAAACCCTTTTACAAATACCTTTATGTCATCAACAAGGAGTCTGTCTTACACTTTAAATCACTTTCTAAAGACTGTCTCAATACTGTCATATTTGTGATTAACTTTCCAAATTTGGGAGGCCATATAGATTCATAGTAAAGAGAAGATATGGTAATACACATTCAATTGTTTGTTCTAGAGTATTCTATGTAAATAACAAATGTTATTTAGTGGCTGAAAGATGAATAAGAGCCATTTTTGCCTTAAATCAGAAAAAGAGACTTCCATTCTCAAGAAACAGTGATCAAATAAGTTAAGACAAGTGTAGTAGTTAAGAAGATTGCTCTCAAGCAACTACCCGTTTCTTGACTCACCCAGTAGTCCACTCTTTGAGAATTAATCTCAACCTCAACTGGCTACTTCCCTCAACGTCCATATCCTTTGCAGGTTATTCCATGGAAATCTTTCGTGTTAAATATCTTAACATCTAATTCTCGAGAACACATCAATACCAGTTAGAACCAGGATGTGCTCAAGTATCCAAGAAACAATGCGGAGCTTTGGAGCTAAAATTACTAATCACCTAAAAGATAACAAGGATTTCACCACTAGACTAGTGTTAGGTGAAGTACAAACAGCACCTCACAAAAGGTAATGCTCTAGTCATTCCAGCCTTTGCCTATGGAAAATTGAGATGGTTTACCAATGGAAAAGAATACACTCAAGGAAGTGGTGCATTAGGTATTTGATAAAGAAAAGGGGGAATAAAATGGCTCTAGCTAAGTACTATTAATAATTTACAAATATTACAAATTAATATTACTATTAATAAATTTACAAAATAATAACAAATAGCTGCAGATGAGAGGGGAGAAGATTTGAAACCCAGATTCCTCTCTTCTTATTTATGAAATAAGCCCTTAGGTTTTTCTGCAGGAAGGGAGCTGAGGATCAAAACCAGAACTTCTTAGTATTTGAATATCAACATTCAACTAAAGTAAGGCTATCATGCTAAGGACAGGGTCCAAGTGGAGAAACTGCGACCTGGACCCTAGAGATATAACCATCTGACAGATGTCCCTAAATGTTTTGATCTCTTGGACTCTTCTGATCATGGAATTGTGGCACATCCTCTTAATTAAAAGCCAGGACATTCAATCTTAGAAGATAATATTTCTCTCATTGAGATCTCCCAAATGTTTCTCTCACATAATTATGCATGCATTCTGCTCACAACCCATCCCAAGGCTCCTAAAGGTCACTATGTCTACAATCATGGTTAAACTGTAACAGCACTAGAACATGCATCGTCAAAGAAAAGAGAAAAACCATTGTCTAAAGAAGTTATAAGACCTAGCTCACCTGTACGTGAAGAGCTAAGCGTGTAGTGTTCTTAACCAAGGGGCAGGCATGTAAAGACTTCACAGTATGATGCTCCTTCACTAGGAGAGTGTTTCACGCTGGGGTTGGGGGTGGGGCTCGGCTGGAGCTCGATCACTTCCGGTGAGTCAGCGCCTCTCTCTGGCGAAGTTCCGGTGGGTGAGCTCGGTGAGGAGGGCAGTGACCTGTTTCCCCCGGGGCCTTCCAGGCCGATGCCACAGGTTAGAGAGGCAAGGCCAAGCCTGGCTTTGAAGCATTGGCAAACTGCCCCTGGCCCTACTTCGATAACCGCAGCGGCCATGGAGCCAGAACTACTTAGGAGGCGAAGCCCGAGGATGAGGCACCTTGGAGCGGCGGCAGTGCGGTGTGGGGAGGAGAATGGTGGCCCCCGATGGCTTCAGAGGGCTGAGAAGGTGGGTGTGGAAGCTTGACCACTGTGGGCCACGGAACTGTGCAGTTCTGGGTCTTGGGGAACTGCTATTTCCCAGTTGGAGGAACCCCCACCTCTTTCCCACGAGGGCGAACAAAGGCCTCACCAGTCCCGGGAGCTGCGAGAGCCAGCCCAAGGAAGGGAGAAGGGTTAATGGCCTACGGGCCATTGCCGAGGAGAATCATTTACATCCACATTTGGCTAATTGGAAACGCTTAAACTCTATTGGGAAGATTTACTGGCTGTGTTTAGGAGGCCCGCATTTGTGATGTGAAAAAGCTTCACTCAATATTGCTTCCAACCTTATAAAAGAAAACTTGTTGCATCTGGACAATATAAGATTGCTGGTGTACGATAAAGTAGATACAAAATCACATGTCTTGAAAACTTCAATATTTAAAAAAAAATCACAGAAAAGAAACATCTTCTGGAAGTGACTCTGACATGTGTTCATTAGACATCTGGAAAAGTGATACTAGGAGTGATACTTGTCCACGTTTGTTCAGTGGGTTAGAGGACATGAAGCAGAAGACAGAAGAAAGCTGCGTACCAGACTGATTAAGGTGAGTGACATTCTTATTGTAGCCATTGTTTTGTGTGTGCATTTTATTCCTCTTTACTATACCCACTTTCCTCATTGAAGGACTGAGTTCCATTCTGGCAACTAGGTGATTAAATGAAGTGGTTGCTAAATGAGGCGTTGTATATACTATGTACATTGAAATATTCACAGTAAAGAAATGGTAAAAGGAAATTTAATTACAAAACTTAACACGGAGTACTGTAATATATAACAACATAAAGCTAAAGTACTGTACTAGATGTGCAAAACTGCATACACAAAAAAGAAGAGTTGTAAGTCTGAACAGCAGGCCTTGGTGGTTAAGTCTGAACAGGTAGATCTTTAAATTAGAGTATCTGTATATGCAGTTGACAGTGCTAAATACTGAAATATCTAGTCTTTCTAGAAATTCTCAAGTGGCTGATACATGTTTAAAAGTAGAAGTAAAATATAATGTTTTGTAAATTTCTTTTTGTTAAAACTCACATAAAGTGTGATTTTGGAGGGGGAATAACCAAACCCCCTCTTGAGTAGTACACATTATGTTTATGTGTTGTTTCTGGATAGAGAAGAAAATGCAAAATCCTGTGCTAGTGCACTTAGAATGAGGCAAGTTACCATTGACTCTTATGTCTCTGCATTTTATTTTACTTTGGTGTGTATGTAGGGTATGTAAAAGGTAGGTTAGACCTGTTACAGCATGTGATCATCGGAAATGTGACATAGGTTGCCAGTTTTGACAAAAATAGATTTAGTAAATCAAAAAAATTTTGTATATTTGTATTCAAATTCCTTGGAAAGATTGTTCTCTGAAAATTTGAGGATTTTAGTTCATTGGGTTAGTGAAGAAGGGAAGAATTCAAGATGAAAATGCTCATATCTTCAAGACACTTCCAGATTATTATTGTTACATGGGTGCAGTTTATTCAAAACTGCTGTGTATATATAGTGGACAAATTGAGTCCTTACAAAACATCTTGTCTTATCTAGATGTTTAGAAGTGCCCAACATATGTTAAATGTAAAGGTAGTAAAGTATCACTTTATAAATATCTTTTTGCTAAAATTCATATGAAATATCTTTGGGGAATGAAATAGTTAAAGTACCTCTATGAGCAATTACTGTCTGATCTCGTCAATGGTTGAAGGAGGTGGGAAGGAAATTGTGAAAAATAGCATATTACTGCATTTATAATTGGGTATTTTGAGACATCACTTTTCTGTAGTATATTTTTAATGATTTTATTATGCTGTGTATATAATCTACAAATAAATCCAACTTTTATAAGATTTTGTCTCTAGATTTTGAAGAGGTTACCAAAATCTGACAAGTAGCAAAGTTAACACATTTTGTACACTTTGTTTTGAAGTTCACAGAAAAGCTTGTTTTCTGCAATAAGCTTTTTTCACTTTTTCTTCTTAAAAATTTTTTTCCTCATTGAGTTTATTGGTACATTTTAGGTATACAGTACAGTTACATTCATTATTGGGATCTTGTGCCTTTACATGACAGGTCTTGGTTCTCATTTTTTCCCTTGTCCCTGTCCTCCCTTCACCCCTTCTCCCCTCCCCCCTTTCAAACACTTCATTTCCATTTTTTCATTTTCTCATATTTTTTTCTTTTCCCTTATTAGCTTTATCCTGTGCTTCCCACTTTCCGTACTCCTTTAGTCCCTTTCTTCCTATTTCACATTGTCCATTATATCATTAGGATCTTATGTACTATTATAGTTTATTCACACCCAAAAAACTATTCGGTATTTACATGTTTATGTCTTATTTATTT